GCAGCAGCAGCAGCAGCAGCAGCAGTAAGCTGTTGCTGCTGCTGCTGCTGCTGCTGCTGCTGCTGCTGCAGTAGCATGCTGCTGTCTGCCCCGCATGCTGGAAAAAAGGAGACAAACCCATTGCTGCTACTGCTGATGCCGTCAAAGAATACATGCAGCAGCAGCAGCAGCAGTAAGCTGCTGCAGCAGCAGCAGCAGCAGCAGCAGCAGCAGGAGCAGCAGCAAGAGCAGCAGCGGCCGGAGAAAAGGAGACAAACCTATTGCTGCTACTGCTGATGCTGTTAAAGAATACATGCAGCAGCAGCAGCAGCAGCAGCAGCAGTAAGCTGCAGCAGCAGCAGCAGCAGTAAGCTGCTGCTGCTGCTGCTGCTGCTGCTGCAGTAGCCTGCTGCTGTCTGTCCCGCATGCTGGAAAAAAGGAGACAAACCCATTGCTGCTACTGCTGATGCCGTCAAGGAATATATGCAGCAGCAGCAGCAGCAGCAGCAGTAAGCAGCAGCAGCAGCAGCAGCAGCAGCAGCAGCAGCAGGAGGAGCAGCATAGAGAGCAGCAGGGGCTGGAGAAAAGGAGACAAACCCATTGCTGCTACTCCTGATGCTGTTAAAGAATATATGCAGCAGCAGCAGCAGCACTAAGCTCCTGCTGCTGCTGCTGCTGTAGCAGCAGCAGCAGCAGCAGCAGCAGCAAGAGCAGCAGCGGCTGGAGAAAAGGAGACGAAGTTCATGCTGCTTCTGCTGAAGCAGTCGAAGAATATATAAAGACACAGAAACACTAAACTGCAGCAGCAGCAGCAGCAGCAGCAGCAGCAACAGCAGCAGCAGCAGCAGCTGTTGTTGTTGCTGCAGAAGCGTTTGAATAATACGGACACAAATGTATGCCCAAGCAGCACACTGCAGCTGCAGCAGCAACCATAGCAGCAGCAACAGCAGCAGCAGCAGCAGCAGCAGTTGCTGCTGCTGCTGCTGCTGTGCTGTAGCAAGTAACGAGCGAGCGGAACTGCTGCTGCTGCAGCAGCAGCAGCAGCAGCAACTGCTGCTGCAGCAGCAGCAGCAGCAGCAGCAACCGCTGCTGTTGCGTATTTTTTGCAGCAGCAACAGCAAGAAGCAGCAGCAGTTGCTGCTGCTGCCGCTGTAGCAGTTGCTGCTGCTG